CCAGGAACTGGAAAACTTTTTTTTTAATAAATAATAAAAGTTTAGTTAATAAATAGTTATGTTTTTGATGGTCATATACATTTCTGTCAAGATATTCTTACATTTCTTTTTTTACAACCCTTTAAAAAAATGCAAAAAAAAAAAAATGAAATTTCTTGGACTAGCAAAAGATGGCTGGGGAGCCAGCAGTTTGCTGGCCCCCTCTTTTGGACAGATGATAGAATATAATAGAAAGCTGTCAGTTATTATCTTCTACTTAATCTGGGAAAGCTCTGGGGAGGAGGCGGTGGTATTTTGAGCTCTGGAGTGAGTGCCGCTGAGACTTGGCTTGACCATGAGGTAGCAGGAGAGCAGGATGACCTCATGGAAAGGAGCCGGGCTGGGGAGTCAGCAGACCTGAGTCGGAGTCCTGGCTCTCCTGCTATCTGTATGGCTTTGGCCAAGTCGCCCGTGTGCCTCCAGTAACTTCTGTGAGTTATCACCGTGAAAAATGAGCAGGAAAAAAAAAAGCAACTTATTGTGAGAATGAGATGAGATCATATCAAAGCACTTTGGAAACTGACGAGCATCCCAGTTAAGACCTTGATAAAATTAGTAAAAGCCAAAAAAATGTAAGCTAAACTTGAAGATTCCAAATTCAAAATGTCACATTATTTAGCTAGCAAGAGAGGAGGTGAAATGTGAGAGTCAAATATGATTCTTTATTGTGCGGCTTTGGCCAAAAGAGCTATTTTATAAGCCTCAAGACTTCAGAAGATAATAAAGTGGTGAGCAATAAAGACAGCTGGGGATCCCTGAAGAGGTTACACAGAGACCATCGGTATGATAGCACACGTGTGCGGGGCAGCGCTCAGCCCACAGATGCCTTCCCGGTCTTCGCCTTTGCTCTCTGTGCAAATCATACTCCCCAAGACCTCTGCTCTGCCACAACTGGCACCCCCAAAGCAGAGGGGCTGTAGGTGTGGTCTAGAGGTAGAACCTGCTGCTGCTCAGAAAGCAAAAGAGTAGAAGGCAGAAAAATGGATCCAGGAGACACAAGACCTCGGGGTTACACTGACTCTTGGCTAGCTGGATCTGACATAGCCCATCTCCTCTTCCCAGTAAAATACTGTTGAAGACAAAGAAAGTACTAAAGCTCATGATCCCCCACCCTCTTCCCCCCAAAAAACCCTTAATGTTGGAAAGTCTGAAACAATCTGTTTATAGAATTTAAAATAACTGGCTAGTAAGATGGCTGATGGAGTGGATTCAGGAAGGCAGTTGGTTCCTACACACTCACGTTTCCTGCTTGAAACAGAATACACCACCACCCCAACCATGGTGGCCAAGCCCTCCTTATTTCCCTTTTATCAACAGCATTATTCAGAGCTATGAGTTGAATTCTGTTCCCCGCCCACAAAAGATGGGGTGAAGTCTTAAACTACCTTGGAATGAAACCTAATGTGCAAATAAGGCTATTACTAGGGTCACCAAGTTAAAATGAGGTCAGTAGGGTAGGCTCTTAATCCAATATGATTGCTATTCTTATTTTTTTTTTTAAAGCAGGGTTATTTAGACATCGAGCCAGTTGCACACAGAGGGAAGATGATGGGAAGAGGTATAGGAAGGCCACCAGGTGAAGCCAAAGCATATTGCACCTAGGAATTGATACCTGCCAAAGGTGTCCAGAGAACCCACCAGAAGTGAGGACACAGGCATGAAACAGAAGGAAATAACTCTGCCAACTTATTGATCTCTGACTCCCAGCCTCCAGAGCTGTTACAGACAATAAATTTCTTTTGTTGCAAGCCCCAAGGTTTGTGATACTTTGTTATAGCAGCTCTAGGAAACTAATACACTCAGGTGCTTAAGATGAGTAGTAATGGCAACTCTTTCTTCATTGCATACTTTTTGAGTCAGCTGAAAAACTCCATTCCCATAGGGCAAGAGGATAATTGAGAGCATATCAATCTGAGCCAAGTTGGCTACTCACAATTTCCAGGTTCCTTTTGGTGAATATTAGCCAGCTCCAAAGAGTAGAGGTCTATGAAGGATCTAGGGCTGCCCTGTCCTCACTCAATCCCATTTCTGACATATATTGCAATGAAAGCAAGTTCCTACCTCAAATTCCAGAATACCTATAGTTGTGCAGAGACGAAAACAGAAAAGCAGCTCAGTAAAGAGCCAGCTGTATCTCCTGTGGGCAAATTTAATAACAAAAACATTTTCACTCAAGGCAACTACTAGACTCTCGAGGCGGAACTCAGATAAAGAGCTGAACTCAGATAAAAAGCCAGTGATGGACTTGAACATGAACAGCATCCTAGCCCTGAGGAATCACTGCAGAGCTGACTGGAGAAGTACGTATCTGAAAAATGCAACCAGCAAAGAAACTGAGGAAGCAACTGAACTATTATCTCCATAAAAAGAGGTTCACACAGACAGTTTTATCATCATGTCCCTTCAAACTTCAAGGAACAGATAATCCCCATGCAATATAAACTGTTCCTGAATAGGAAAGAAAGAAAACTTAAACTGTCTACTATATGAATAATCTCAACATCCAACTCTCACAAAGATAGCACCGCCACTAAAATACTCCTATAGAACGAACCAATTATGAGCACAAATTCTAAAATGCTCAGTAAAATAGCAGACAACTCAAGGAAATTATATAATAAAATATCATCCATTATAATCAACCAGAGTTATCCAAAGAATGCTGAAGTATTTTAAAATGAGGAAAATCTATTAAAAATACATTTTTAATAGGCATGCAGTAACCTCGGATGTCTCTCAAAAGGCACTTGTTAAAATGCTCCACATATTCAGAGTAAAAACTAAAAAAAAAAAAAAAACAAGAAACAGAAAATTATTCTCTCAACATGTCAAAGACTGTCTTAAACAAATCCATCCTATCTTAAGAGGAAAACAGTGACTGATGTTCTATCAAACTCAGAAAAAAAAATGGTAAGAATGTTTGCTATTGCCATTTTCATTTAACACTTTTAAGCACAAATTAGCTCTAACCATTGCAAATAAGTAAACTATTACTTGAAATAAGACTATATACCTAGAAAACCCAATGGGTAGCAACATAACTTAGGAAATGAGAGCTTAATAACATCCCAAGGTAACATATGTATATAAATATCTGGAGATTTCCCACATGCCAGCCATAAGTGCTTAGATAACATAATGAAAAAGACTACACAGGTTGAACCTCCCTAAACCAAAATTCCAAAATCCAAAATGCTCCAAAATCCAAAACCTTTTGAGTATAAACATGACATTCAAAATATTTCATATTTTGGGCCACTTCAGATTTGAATTTTCAGATTAGAGATGTTCAACTGATAAAAGTATGTGGAAATAATCCAAAATCCAACATTTTTTCAAAATTTAAAACACTTCTGATCCCAAGCATGTTAAACAAGGAAAACTCAAACCATGTTTGCAATAACAAAAATGTAAAATATTTAAGGAAAGCCTAACAAGAAATGCATTCTTTTTTTTAATTGATTTTATTTTTTAAATACATGACAGCAGAATGTATCACAATTCTTATTATACATATAGAACACAATTTTTCATATCTCTGTTTGTATATAAAGTTATGTTCACACCAATTCATGTCTTTATACATGTACTTTGGATAATGATGTCCATCACATTCCTCCAGCTTTGATAACCCCCTGCCTCCTCCTTCCCCTCCCACCCCTCTGCCCTATCTAGAGTTCATCTATTCCTCCCATGCTCCCCCTCCCTACCCCCCTATGAGTCAACCTCCTTATATCAGAGAAAACATTTGCCATTTGTTTTTGGGGGATTGGCTAACTTCACTTAGCATTATTTTCTCCAACTGCATCCATTTACCTGCAAATGCCATGATTTTATTCTCTTTTATTGCAGAGTAATATGCCATTGTGTATATATGCCACATTTTTTAATCCATTCATATACTGAAGGGCATTTAGGTTGGTTCCACAGTTTAGCCATTGTAAATTCTGCTGCTATAAACACTGATGTGGCTGTGTCCTGGTAGTATGCTGTTTTTAAGTCCTTTGGGTATAGACCAAGGAGAGGGATAGCTGGATCAAATGGTGGTTCCATTCCCAGATTTCCAAGAAATCTCCATACTGCTTTCCGTATTGGCTGCACCAATTTGAAGTCCCACCAGCAATGTATGAAATGCATTCTTAAGGACATAAATAAAATATTACTGAGACATATAAAAATGGTGGCTAGCAGTACTTCATACAGACTTTTCCTATGCTCCCTAAGTGCTGTGAGAACTGGGGACAGGTCTGGTTTGGATCTTCATGAGGTCCCCAGTCCCTGAATGTGCACAATGGGTTGAACATTCAGGATGATCACTGAGCTTTGGCAGTGATACCCCCTGTTGTCTCTGCTGGGACACTGGCAATGAATGGAGAAGTAGCTTCTTTCTGGATATCTTTTTCATAGAACCAAGAAAAAGCTAATGGTAGATTATGCACTGGCATTTAAAGCACAGCACACTGAGCTGGCAGATGTCTGTTCTGATCACATTCCACTGCCCAAAGAAGTCATATGGCAAAAACAGATCTTTGGGGTGAGGAAGAATAGCCCTCCCATAAGGAAGGGGCACACACAGAATAGTTTCCAGTGAATTTAGAATGTTCGATGCAGATGTGTGGGAGAAACCTTCCATGGATACCTGCTGAAGGAATAAATAAAGGAAGATGCAAAGATACAGGAAACTATGGAAACTCATACAACAATGATAACCAAGATTGAATTAAGGGATGGGCTAAATTTTCCATAGCACAAAATCAGCTGAATCACTTACTAATATAAAGCCACACTCTGCTTTGTAACATACCCCCTTCCAACACCTTAGAGAACCCAACTAAAGAATCTTAGGGAGGCGCTTCATCCATTCCACTAACGATATAATAAAGGGAAAAAATGGTTGGAAACACCTAAATAATTGACAAAACAAGAGTTTCAATGAATCATTAAGAAAATCTGTCTCTTACCTTTTCAGTTCCAGTAGACCAAACACACATTCATATCTATGTAGAGAGGATAAAAGGATATAGGAAATTTATATAACACATTAATACGTTTGATTTAACATATGTATATCGAACTTCAGTTATATTCAGAAAATGCATATTCTTTTCAAATGCCATGGAAACCTAACAAATATGGATCAATATTAATCCATAAGAAAAATCTTATTACTGTTTTCCCAAAAGTAGATATATTGCAGATTGCATTCTTACATTCTCTAACCACAATGTAATACACTCAGAAATTCATAATAGAAGAATTTTTTTAAAAACACTAGAAATGTCTAACTCTCTTAAATTTAACTTTTGAGACAAAGAAGAAATAAAACTTACAAGTACAGCCTATTTTTAAAATTATTACAATAAGAACAGAACATATAAAATGTAGGGGCTATGGCCAGAGAGACACTGGGGAAAATTAATAGCATTGAGAGTTTATTATTAAACATAAAAAAACTGAAAGTATGTGAACTAAGTACCCAATCCAATAAATTAAATTAGACTAAAATATCTATAAAATTCAGATACAGGAAATAGACAACAATAAAAGTATTTTTAAAAATTGTTTAGCAAAACTAAAACCATTTAAATTGATAAAGAATCTTGTTGCTTTTAGCAAAAAAAAATTAATAAAATAGAATGAATTCTGGGAAATGATAATTACTCAAAAAGAGAATCTTTTAAAATTCCCATATTAAATAGCTGTGTTATTCGATACCAGGAAACAGAAAAAGGAGGACATGTTTAACTTTTTTAAAAGTGAGAGCAAAAGCACAAAGATGAATCATTAAGAACATAAAAAGCAGTACACAACTATGAAGTAGATTATTTCAATTTTACATTTGATAATATGTGCCTAAATTTGAAAAGTATGATTTTCTGAAAAATATTAGTAAAAATCTCACAGTAGAAGGACAAAAACTTCCATAGATTAATGATAAGAAAACTTTGTGAGTGCCTATGTGTGTTGGAACAAATTCTCCAAATAGTATCAAATGCAAATAGTTTTATGGATTAATTTTTCAAATTTTCAAGGAACAAGTCTTCTGTACAGGTTAAATTTTGTCAGAATATTAAAATCAAAACATAGGAAATCTCAAAATGTATTCAGTGGAGCCAGCATAATCATGACACAAGGCCTGAAGAGTCAGAGAAATTAAATTCATGACACACTCACAGAATGTAATGCCGCAGTCAGAAATAAAGCAGTGTGGATCGGCTCTTAAACAGAATGAGACTTCTTTTTTCTTACTTTTTTTTTTTTTTATTTAGAGACAGGGTCTTACTAAGTTGCTTAGGGCCTGGCTAAGTTGCTGAGGCTGCTTTTGAACTTGTGATTCTCCTGCCTCAGCCTCCTGTGCCGATGGGATTACAGGTGTGAACCACTGCAACAGGCAATATGAGACTTTTAACAGAATCGATTAACAGCACATGCCACATAAAGATAATAATACTTAAGTAAGAACACAGGCAATTATAGCAATTCACACTTAAAACAGTACTGGGCATATCTTGGGTAGAGTGCTTGCCTAGCACACCCCAGGCCCTGGGTTCAATCTCCAGCATTCCAAAAAAAAAATAAAATAACTATGTAAAATGTTAAAATAAGTTCTTCTGGGAGGTGGGAGGGAAAGAAATAAGAATAGGTTGTGAAAGAAGTTTGAATAAACAAACGAATAAATAAATACAAAGTGATGTTTGCTGTAAACCAAGAAGCCCATTTAATTCAACCCTCTACACCAGAGATTATTTAAAAGAAAAAAAAATGAAATAAGTAAAGAAAAAAAAACTGAGAAAACTATGAACTAAATCTCCCTGATGAATACAGAATGTTAAACACTGACAAATATAATACACAAAAGCAAATTAAACTTTAAGTAGAAATAAAAATATGCTTAAATGTTTAACAATCCATTTATCAAATTCAAAAGAGGAAACCCATGTGTTTTTGATAGACGCAAATGGATGGTAAATGATTTTTTCAACATTTAATCCTGATTAAAACTTTTGGAAAAAGTAGCATATTTCCTTAAAGTGATAATAATAACCTATCTCAGACAGAGAGACGATATCATACCAAACGATTAAATGCCAGAGGCCCTGCCATTAGTCATGTACAACATTAATAATGTATTTAATACATTGTGCATATATGAAAAACTAAAGAGAACTGGCCAAAATAACTATTATAATTGAGGTAAGCAATATGAAAAATCAATAGTTATACTACACATCAAAGTATTTGATATTTTAAATGCATGCAAATTCTTTTGAAGAATATAATGAGATGAGAGGCAAACTCATTTTGAAGATCACATAAATGCACAAGTGGACAAGGTTAGACCAAAAAGAATTTATGATGAAGAGATACCAATACCAGAAACCAATCCAAATTCTAACTCATAACTATTAAATTAATATGTATTAAAATAGGTCAGTGCAAGAAGAATGAAAGCACAGAAACAACCCAATAGGTATAACAATTTATTATCCCAGTTTATTGATTATAATATTTCTGATATGAGGGTCTAACTCTAGATTTCCAAATTGCTGTGATTTCTAAATTAGGGTTGAACCTCATAGTCAATTGCATTCAAGAATCAAGGAAATAGTTCCCATAATTTTCAAATCCTTTGGGAGTGAATTAGTGAATAAACGGTTCTACAGAAATAGGTTCAACTCCCAGAGAAAACAATTTAAAGATTAAGTTCCTTCCTCATTCTGTACATCATTATAAATTTCATATGATCTTAGGAAATAGAAGACAGACTGGAACTATCTTCATTATCATCAAACTTGACCTACCTGGAGAGCCTAAAATAGAGATTTGGAATCTCTTGGCTGAGTAGCAACTATACACCCCCAATACCCAATGTTAGGAGACATTACCATTATGTGACACTTACAGGATAAAGACCCTTCCCAATGCACATACCAGAAAGTACTCAGGAATACTGTAGTTGTGAAATAAAGAACTGATGTGTCCATAAAACAGATTATGGTATACCATCACAAGTCAGGAGCTGGGAAAATAGCTAAAGGTATAAGAAAATGTTCAATCTATAATGTTCAGCCATTAAATGGCATAGAATCGACTTTCAAAAGTATATGCTCTCATAGGTGTGTATGCATAAACATAATTTCAAATAAAAATGAGGGAAAGAAAAAAACAAGAACATTAACTGTGCCCATTACTGAATGGCAGGATTTTAGGATTTAGGTTGATTTTTACCTTTTGTTTTGTTTTGTTTTGGTTTTGGTTTTGTTTGTTTTGTTTGTTTTGATACTGGAAATTGAACCTAGGGGAGCTCAACCACTGAGTTGCACCCCAAACCCTTTTTATTTTGAGACAAGGTCTTGTTAAGTTGCTGAAGCTGGCTTTGAACTTGCGATCCTCCTACCTCAGCTTCTGGAGCCATTGGGATTACAGGCATGTGCTCTGCTCACTGTCTTTTTTTTTTAATTTATTTTCTGAATGTTACCTGTATTTCCTTATCATCTGCCCATACCTGAATTGATTAGAGAGGTAAATTACCTCAAAATTTTCCAACAATTTCTGGCAGAGCCTGTGTGTAAACATGTCCTCCGATAGACATAAGGTTGATTAGCCAGATAAATCAGATTCTCTCTGAATGTTTGCACTGGAAACTACTAAAAAGAGGTTAAAAGAGGTCATGAGATAGAGCGGCTGTGTGTGAGTCGTAGCAAGCCAGAAATATAAGAAACGAGAAATTAAGTGTAAGAAGAAGTTAGCAGGTAGAGAAAAATGGAGGCAGGTGAGGGAAAGAGAAGTAGACAGAAAGAGAAGCAACCCATGGAGAGTAACCGAGTTACACTAAGAGGGGAGCATTAGAGAAAATATCCGTGAACTTTGGCTGCTTCAGGCCCTAAAAATGCTTTGGATCTCACACCAGTCCTGGAAACCCAATAAAACTAGAGTGCTATAGTTTGGATTTGTTTTGAGTGTGTCAATCAAGCATTCACGTATTAAAATTTAACCCCCATTGTGAAGTAGTAGGGAGGTGGAAGCTTAATCTATGATATTTATAGGTGGGATCTTTGGGCAGTGGTTAGGATTAAATAAGGTCATTAGAGTAGAACACCCATGAATGAATACTGATAGCTGTATAGACAAAGATCAGAGGAGACACACACACTCACATTTCCTCTCTTGCCATGTGATGCCCAGCTCCACCGTAGGTCTCTGACAGCAAGAAGCCCATTAACAGATTCAGGACTTTGAAACTTCACAACTGTCAGCTTAAAAACCTCTTTTTTAAAAAAATACGTAATCTTGCCTCTGGTGTTCAATTATAGTAATAGAAAATAGTAAGGCAACAGGTTATTGGTCTTATATGCTTCAGAAAAAAAAATCTTTTTTTATTCTTTTCTATCCACATGAATAAAAAGATCATTTGTAACCTATGAAAAGAGTGTATTTTATTTAAAAAATAAAAGCATCTATAAATCCGCTAAAAAAAGACAGGACATTCTCAAATGCTAATGTTAACTCTGGTTATCTCTAGTAGTGGAATTACAAATGATTTATTTTTTCTTCTTTGTGCTTTGGCATTTTCAAGTTTTCCAGAGTGAACATATAGTGCTTTTATAATCATTTCTAAAACAAATACATGCTATTTAAAATGGCATGTGTGTGAATATGTTCTATTGACCTCAGTCTGATTTAAAAAAAAAAAAAACCTCCATAAATTTCACCACTAGTTTCCTTGCGGAACAAAGACCAAGACCTTTGCTGATATCCATCTATTTCCCACATTTTTTACAACTAAACTAAATAACCAAGTGTAGCTGTTCTGGGCCAAAGTTTGTATCCAAGGTCAATAGATTTCCCCCTGCAGTGACAGAGTGGATCCAACATATTTAGAATGGCCTCCCATTGACTCATCTAACAAACAATTAGTGTTCTGGAACAGGAAATGAGTACCATTGGAGCAGGGGAGGCATCTGTTTATAGAGCTCTCTGCTTCACCCCAATGTCTTAGTCAAATTCGGCTGTAGAAAGAGGGCTTCGCATCAGAGTCTTCCACCCTTCCATCCGATGCCTCTGTTGGTGTCCAGACTCAAGAGCCCATCTCACTAGGAATGGTGACCCTCAAGACACAGACGATCAAAACAAGAGAGCACCCTAAAAGGTGCAGACCATGTAGAAACTAGCATTTTTCCTCTCTCCACTCACCAAAAAAATGTCACCACCACCGCCCGCCCACACCCAGCACCGAAACCCAGTGGTGTGACCTTGGCTGCCATCACGGATGCTTCCTCATCTTTTCGAGTTTCATCTATGAAAGAAAGAGGCTGATGCAAGCTCGAGGCTTTCTGGAATGTTCTGCAAGCCGCCCCATGATCTAGGTGTCAGCAGCTGCACAAAGCATCATGGCCTCCTGGGAAGGATGCAGATGCCATGATGCTTTACAGACCTGCTTTCTCTGGGAGTATTTGAAGCAGCTGGGATGACAACCTCATAATCGCCAGCTACCACAGGAAAGGCTGTTCCCCCGCGTGCATCCTCTGTCCTTAGCCCACGGATGTGCTGCTGCTGACACATGGAGAGCTGGGAGTTTGCTGCATTCAGATGACCCTCCAAACGCGGAGTTTTGATCTTATGGAAATTTCTGATAATGCGTTTTCTAGACACATCTAACAAAATAACTCTTCATTTCTAAAAAGCCCTGGACTTTAAAAGGCTTCTCAAGTACCCAGGCATGCTCCAAAGATAAATTTAAAAGGAGTGAAGTCGAAATGAATGATAAACACGCGGATTGAATTTCCCACAAGTACCCAACTTTTTGAAAATGGAGAGAAATATGTTCAGAGAGGGGTGGGGGGAGACTTTAATTCTACAAAACTCAAAATCTTCTCTCAAAAGAATTGAGACATTTCGCCAAACGGAGTAAAGGATGCAATGTTTCGATTTAATCTCCTTTGATCTGACCTACACAGTCAGGATGATCCAAATGTCTGTCTGCTGGATTCTTTGGGTCCTTGTGAATAGGGTCCAGGAATCCATTCACCTTCGGGCACCGTAATGGTCAGATCGGGCCCAGATTTCTAAATTCGAGATTCTTAATGATGACACAGAAGATGAACCAGCACCTTGAGGTGTTGGGGGTCTAGGAAATGCTTGCAGTGCAGACACATTCAGGAGCTGAGCACCCACCTTCTCCAGACGTCCAACAATCAAAAAATCCTGGCATCTAACAGGACTTTCTCTGTCATTCCCCTCACCTCTTGGAAGTATTTGATGCACTCAACCACTGCCTACGTTTTTTGAATCTCGACTTTCTTGTTTCCTGATAACCCTCCTGTTCTTGTTATGTTTCTCTTATGACTAGTCCGTCTGTCCTTCCTATCTCATCCACAGTCACCTCCCGTTCAGAGCCCTTCATGGGCAGCACCATCTACCAAATAAAGCCACGTTGCTCACTCCAACCTCCAAGGGCCTCTGTCACCTTGTCTCCATCCATCTCTGTAATCTTGTTTGTTATTCTTTCCTTACTGTAATCCATTCTCTGACCCAACTGGACTTCCTAGGGTTTCCTTTTCATGCCAGAAGAGTTCCCATGAAGGTAGGTTTACCCTGAAGTCCCATCGGCCCTGGGCAAAAAAAAAAAATCCTGCAAGTCACCCAGATTTGTCCTTAGATGCCAGGTACATCATGATAATTACCAGGCTGCTGCTTCTATCCAGTTTATGCTAATTTTCTTCTCAATAGATAAGCTCTGGCACAATGCATCTTGCATTTCCCCCCCTCACTCATAGCTCTTATCACAAACACGAATTACAGTTATTCCTCCACTCACTTTATCTCCCCTATCATGGGGAATTTTCCCCCGAGGACCAAAACACGGACCCATGTATTTTTACATACCACAAAAGGGTCAAGCATGGTGCTTTGTACATCGTGGTGTTTGTTGACAGAAGAAGAGTCCATCTCTCAGGGCATCAGCCTCCTCATCTCTGAGACTGGAGGGTGGTGTGGAATGTGTATTAGAGGCAAGGCCAACACACAGCCTCCAAGGGTGAGACCTGCCCTGGCCAACAGAGTAGCAACTGAAAGCTGGAATCCCAAGAGGGTACGTAAAGTGGAAATGGTGTCCCCGGGAAAGAAAACAAGCATTGAGATCTGAGGTCTGCTAACAGATATTTCATAAATGATCCCCCCGTCCCTTAATGGTGGGCTCAGGGAGGCAGTCCTCTCTACCCCAAAGAGCATGAGAGGCCTAAAATTAATAGCACCATTTTGATGAATGGACCACACATCCCAATTGGACAGAGCAAGATAAGGTGAGAAGGATCCCATTCCCCACAAGAGCAGCTTCTCTAAATAGCCTCAAATCGATTTCCTAAGAATTAACCTATAAAAGTTGTTTTTTAAGCCTTCCAGATAGACTCAGTCTATTTTATAAACACTTTCTCAGATTTATGTCTGGCCTATAAAACCAGGCTGGGTCTTTGGTTGAGGGCAGAGAGACTCATATTTGGCTCTAGAATCCTGGAGTTACACTATAATGTGATTTGCTTAGCCAACGCTGGGGGCCTTCATCCTAGGTGAAACCTCCTTATAAGGAGGTCTGTTTTTTATATACTTCAATAACTATCCCCCACTTTGGAGGGCCTCCAGGATGGACTGTCCATATACCTAGCTCTATCGCCAAGAGAGATATAGTGAGGTCCCAGTTTTATTTAGACAAAGCTTTGATAACCAGAATCAACTATTCTTTCTCAGCCCCAGGCTTATAGGGCAGCCAAAAGTCTTCAGGGAACAAATGCACTTGTAAAACAACAGACTTTGCGAGCCCTTGGAAAAACTGTCACCTGTAAAACTGCACAGACGTGTCCTGCCTGAGTCATCTGAGTTATAGAAATGAACTTTTGATCAAAGACGGTGGCTACAGTAAGTGGAAGGGCTCCTAAGAGGACTGCAGAGAATAACAGTCATGCCCTGTGGGGGAAATAAATCTCTTCCCCACTGGAGTTTTGAGGGACCAAGTCCAGAGAGCTTGAGATGAGAAGAAATGGAGGTATGATTGACAGAAGAGCAAAAGTAACTTAATTCCACTGTCTTCACTTAAGTACATTTTCTGTTTTCTTTCCTGTTTAGTTGTTGATCTCAGGCAGCTTTCATCAGCAACTGTGATTCCTGGAGAGAATTGGTTTTTTTGTTTTGTTTTGTTTTGTTTTGTTTTTTTAAGTAGCTGAGCACAGAAGAAAACTTGAAACCCATAGTCAAGGGGAAATAAGGACAAAACTGAAGACTTATCTTCAGATCTGGATGGCACTGAAAGAGAGCTCCAGCTGCAATCTTTTCCTTCTACCCCATAATGCGAATTGGCACAAGAAAATTTAACTAGGGCCGTCTTTGCTTATGCACAATTTCATTAACCATAGTCAAGTGCATTAATTAAAACATTAATGAAAAATTTCAGAAATAAACAATTTATAAGTTTTAAATTGCAGGCTGTTCTGAGGAGCATCATGACATCTCCTGCAGCCCCACTCTGACCAGCTCCATCTGGCCCCAAACACAAGCCTTCTCTTTGTCCAGAGTATCCTCACTGTATAGGCTACCCACCTGTTAGACACTTAGTAGCCATCTCAGCGATCAGATCCACTGTGAAGGTATCCCAGTGCTTGTACACAGGGCTTGGCACTGTCCTCTGTTTCAGATATTATTATTATCATCAATCACTGGGACTCTAGAATGTATCCCCTGCAGATAAGGGAGGACTAGTGTAGTTTCTTATTATACAAAAAAAATGAGTAAAGGTACCCTCAATAGAGCAGAAATTGTAGAAAATATGGAAAGAGAAAAGACAAAGAAGACTAGAGAGCATCTTCTTGAGCTTCAAGAGAGAGCTCTCCAAGATGCTCTTGTTGAAATTGCAAGACCATAGTTTAATTACTCACCTCTTCTATAAAAGACCAACAGAAATATTTTGCTATTACTTCTACTCTTTTGCATTTTCTATTACTATGGGTTTTTCTTTCTTTTTTCTTCTGCCTGTCTTTTATTAAATAAATTGTTTTTCTTACTCCCCTTTTCCCTTCCATGAATTCAAAAATCATACTCTCTGACTTATCATTTTAGATATCTAAGATACCTAAAAATAGAAACAATCAGAATCTCTATCTTCCAGACAAAAGTTCGATTCTGATCTCCCTTTCCCATCTGCTATTTTATTAATGCAAAATTTATTAATGATAAATTAATTTCTTCTTGCTTTCTTTATTTTTTTCAAGTTATTTTTAATTCTCTTGCCATGTTTTTACATTGCCATGTCTTTTTTCTTGACCTTTTAAACATTGGACAGGGGGAAAAAAACACTTATTTTTTTTCCTGTTGGGTAATATCACATTTTAGCTTAAGAATATGAACATTCTGAATATCAAGAATTAAAGCTGCTGGGGGTGGGGAGGTCACATTTATTTGTAGGCATTAAGATAGTTCTGAGGTCTGAAGAGCAAAATATCTCTTATGAATTGTAACAAAATTCACATCTCAAAATAAAAGACGCTGAAGTGTATACAATTATGTCCATATTCAACAGGTTTACAATATCCAGAAAACCTGGATTTCTAGAAATGATAAATGAAATAGCTTTTTAGTGAGAGAACATAGTTTATACCAAAATGATAAAACTTGAAACCTGGCCCCATTGTGCAGAAGTCTGTTCCACTCTTTGTCGCCATTGTTAAAAACACAGATCCTGGGACATCTAGCAAATGCCAAGCAGATTCATCATTTGAACACAGAAAATTCCAGTAAGGTTAGCTTTAATACTTCATTCAAATAGGGCATTTGATTCAAATTCCTTGGGATGCCCCAAAGGCTTATGGGGTTGCTGGTACCATTTCTGGGAGTACGATATCATACACTTGATTTCCTTTGAGTGTAGCCATGGTTGTGGAGTTATAAACCAGGTTCTAGAATTTCTCACTCAAATGAAGGCAGAGAGAGGTCTTCTTGAACCAAAGGCAACTACTATGAATGTATCACAGAGGTTGTGTTCAAGCTGCTTGGGTCAATTCTATCTTTCAATAAAAAGACCTGAGCTATGACAACCATGGCCACAGGACATGTCACGCTGGGTGGAGTGCTCCCACCAGAGACCTCAGGCTAGTGCTCCTTCTGAATGTACACCATCCAAGCAGGTCACATCAGACACTTCCTGTGAGCCAGTGTGAAGCCACAGCAGCTGTCACCTTTGCAAGCACAAAGTCTTGTCTCCCTTGAGTTCATCTGTGTATACGTGGTGTGTGTGCACAAGTGTGCACCTCCCTATCTCTGCACACACTCACCAGAGTATACGCTCTTAACATGGGAGCACAACAGGGGCTGGGCCTTTTATGTAAGACTAATTTTAGACTGGGTCAAAAAGAGGAAATTGTGGGCTGAGGATGTGGCTCAAGCGGTAGTACGCTCGCCTGACATGCGCAGAGTGCTGGGTTCGATCCTCAGTACCACATAAAAATAAAGATGTTGTGTCCACCGAAAAATAAAAAATAAATATTAAAAAATCTCTCTCTCTCTCTCTCTTAAAAAAAATTGAGGAAATTGTGCATGCAGCACCAGCATTCAACTGAGTGTCTCCTTGTTTTTAACTCTCTCCTACAAATTAGCCCCTGTTTATATATCATTGTTTATTGATTTAGAGTTATCAATATGCTTACCAATCCTTTTCATACAATAACTTAAATCCCTCTGTTTGATTTCCCCCTGCCTTTCATGTTTCAGTAGTTATTTACACAGAATCAGTAAGGGTTCTTTGGAAAATGTTCATATTTGGTTCTCACTATTGAATGACACCTTTAGCTGGGTATAAAACTCTAGGGTGTCAGTTGTTTCCCTGAGTACATTGAAGGCATAATTGCATTGTATTCTGACATACTACCTATGAAACTAACGTCTGCTACCTGTCCAGTAGTCGTTCTTTTGTAGATATATATTTTATCTTTTATTCATACTGTGTTTTGAATTTTTTGGTTGATCTTCAGTATTTGGCAGTTTTTCCCATATGTGATTAGGTGGAGATCTTTTTTTTTTTCATAGTTCTGCTTTGAGCTTTGCATAGTATTTCAACTCAAAGACTTATGTCTTATTATCAGATATAGATATCTCTCTTGGTTTTCCCTTTAATATTATCTCTCCTTCATTGCCATTATTTTCTCTTCTTAGAATTTCTATTAAATAAACTGCAGGCCTTCTCACTCGCAGTCTTTTAACTTCTTTTTCATCATTGTAATCTCTTCATATCTCTGTGATACATTCATAGTAGTTGCCTCAGATCTGTCCTCTAAATCAAGTTGACTTTGATTGATACCTTGTATGTTCATTGATTTCAGTTACTGTATTTTCAATTTCTTGAAGTTCAATTACGTTAATTTTTAAACCTAACTGATTTCAAAAGTACCTTGATTTTTTTTACTCCTTTCACTTTTAATAATTTCAAACATAATTATTAGAGCAATAAGCTATATGATACAGAGAAAGAGAGAGAGAGAGAGAGAGAGAGAGAGAGAGAGAGAGAGAGAGAGAGAGAGAGAGATATCCCAGGTGTTTAGTAGGCTGTATGTTTGTGTGAATATACTATATGGTATTTCATGTAATGATTAAATCATGTAATCAATTTTCTAAACATATCCCTGCCACAGGCAACTCATGACTGTATTTGAGAGGCTATATACTTGGTACCAGGCATTAGTCTTTAAACCTGAAATGCATCCATGAACAGAACAGGTAAATTCCCTGCCCTCCTAGGGTTTGCCTCCTAGTGGAGGGAGACAGACAATTTTTAAGACATATAAGATGTAGAGTATATCAAGTGAGGCCAAAGCTAGGGGGACAATAAAGCAGGAGAGGTGTAGGGAAGAGGAAAAGATGTAGATTTAAAAAGATATGACATGGGAGAGATTCGTGTAAGGTAGAGAGCAAGGAACAAGCTCTGCATTTATCTAAGAGAACACTCTTAGCAGAGGGACTGTGAATACAAAAGCCCTAAGACAGCACCGTGCCTGGCCTTTTACAGCAATAATATTGATACCAACACGACTGGAGGAGAGGTACTGAAAGACATGAGAGCCCCTGTCAGATCTTTGGCTTTTACATTAAATAATATTGGAAGCTATTCAAGGGCTTCAGTGAAGAATGGCATGAGCCAATTAATATTATTAAAAGATAACTCTGGCTACTTTGTTGAGGATAGGAAACAATAACAACAACAAAGCAGAATCATGGAGACCAAAAAGAGCTATTACAGCAATGCTGTCAGAAGATAATAGTGACTTGAACCAAGAGAAGAACTGGGAGGGAGTGACGAGTCATCAGAATCTGGGTTTATCCTCAAGGTGTACCCCACAGGGATTGGGTGAAAAGTTGGACGTGGAATGTAAGGAACATAAAGGCTATCTCCTCATTCAAAGGTGACTCCAAAGTTTTTGACCTGAATTGTTGAGAGGATGGACTTATCATTTATAGAGAAAAGAGAGGATGCAGAGTGTTATAGTTTGGATATGAAGTATCTCCCCCAAATCGGTCCATCCTGGCTTGAATGGACTAGCTGGATGGTAACTGCAGGCAGGTGGGGCATGGTTGGAAGAGATGGACCAATGGGAACTCTTCCTGGAAGAGAGTGTCTTTCTGAGGTCCCTTTCCCTACTCTCCCTGTCTCTCTCTGCTCCTGGGCCACCGTAAGATGAGCTTCTTTCCTCTGCCATACCATTCAGCCATGATGCTTGACCTCACCTTGAACCCAGAGCAATGGAGCTGGCCATGTATGAACGAGACCTCTAAAATTGTAAGCCCCCCACAAACTTTTTCTTCTCTGAGGTTTTCCTCATCAGATACTTTGGTCACAGAGACACAACACTTATAAAAATACAGGGAGACAGGGTTTGCAGAATGATCAGGAGAATGTTTTTCTACACATTATATGGGTTTTCCATTGCAAATTACCTCCAAAATTTGGCAGACTGAACAATAAGTATTTATTTTATCAGGATGTCTAAAGGCCAAGAATGTAACCTCCATTTACCTGAAAGGCTCTACCCCAGGTAGTTCATGAGAAAACAGTTAAGCTCGTCAACCGGGGCTTCAAGGATCTAAAGTGTGACCAGCAGTGGAGGACCTGCTTCCAAGATCACAAGTCTGCCATGTTCATGCTGGATGCTGATTGGAAAGCCTCAGTTCTACTCCACAGGGGCCTTCTACATGGTAGCTGGCATCCTCTGGAGCAAGCAATCTAAGAGCAAGATCAAAAGTGACTATAAAAGAAGCTCAATATCTTTTTAGTTTAAATATAACTGACTCTCAAAAGGGACTTCATATTACGACGGTCAATCACCCTCTGTCAATCACACAGACAAATTCTGACCTCAGCATGGGAGAGACTGCACAAGTATGTGCTTACCAGGAGCCAGAGGACTTTGAGGGTCACCCTGGAGACTGGCTACATGTTTGATACACTTATTAGATTTCTCCGTGGAACTGTCTTGAAGATAATCTGGAATCGAGAAGCATCTGGAATTAAGAGCAGAGTTCAGACTGGAGCTAGAAATCAATAGTATAAAGGAAGATATAATCTAGGGAGTCCACAAAAAAAACTTTTAGGTGTGTTCTTAAGTAAACTCCCCCCTCAAAAAGATGTCATCCTTTATCTCTTCTCTTTTGTTCTCTGAGTTGGTAAACGGAGCCCTAGGAAAAAAGTGCTGACTCTGTGCTATAGATCCAGAGCT